CTTATGTTTTTGTATTGACAATGACATCCCAATGGTTTAAGTGAATAAAATTCATTTCTTCGGAAATGAGTTGATAACATAGTTATCATGTTTATCTGGGAACAAATTCCGCAACACTTTTAATCTAATGATTACTCTGAAATTATTTTAAAAGCATAAATTAAATCGGTCTTTTCTGGCCGTGAAATTGGGGATGTAACATGATGGCTTAGGGTTTACAGGGAGACAGGAGGTAGAAAATGAAGGGAGATCTATAGGAGAGAGTATCAGAGAGGAGAGTCGATTGAGAAGATGAAAGATAGATAAAATGTAGAAAGAACGAGGCGGGTTTTCAAAATTTCAGGGATTTCGTTTCCCCCCTTGTCCATTAAATGCGCGTTTCATTAAAATTTATAAAGCGACAGGTATAGACGATGCACCTTTAAGATAAAGCGCCCTCCGTGTTTTTAATTTTTTTTCTTGAGACACTAAATTAAGGGCACGTAATATGCGTGACGTAAATCCTTAAAATTTTTGAAGAGATGACACTATTTTAAGGACGCTCTCTTTTGCGTAACATAAATCAGTGTGTGTCGTAAATTGCGTGTCATTAAAGGCATATATTCTAGTAGTGGTTATTCAAATCATCCATAGTCAATCATACTTTGGAAGTAGGTATTGAGACAAGACTGTCATGAATGGGTGTGTAGTTTGTCTAGGTGTTTTAGACATAGCTGCAGTGTTCATGAGTGCTCCTGGAATAAGATTCGAGTACTGGATTCAACTCCCGCTCATTTGAATCACTTCATGGATTTTATCATGAGTGATCATGAGATGATAATATGTTATATTCTTGAAACGGAGACATGTGAGCTGTAGTTACAAGTCGGTTGCACATTGAGATATGTAAACGCACCAGTAACTTGGATGTTATAAAACATATTGTTGTGTGTAATTTGATGAGTAAGTACAATCAAGCATTTGGGTCAAAGTTTATCCGCTCCTTTTACCCCATGAGGATAAAAGCGATATATGTGGGCCCCTCAATGATTTAATGATGACAACCCTAAGTGCTCGGTCTGGCCTGGACTGATTTGATTTGTTCAATTAGTCGGTCATCATAAATCGGAAATCGAGAAACAACAAATGGACAGAAAGAATGATTATAATCCATGTCTCAGTCCATATGATATCTATAATGGAGTAATATATGATCCCTTATCTAATGGACGCGTCATTGACTAGGTCAGAGTTCGACAGCGGCTTTTAAGAGCTACGATTACTAGTCCGGATTTTAGAGTCGTAATTGCAATAATAGTTATTAGACTTATCCAAATGGAAGACTGTTGGATTAGGTGTCTAAGCCCATAACTATAATTGGTATGTACTTGACCTGAGAGTAGCATGGTCCATTTAGGTTGCATATCATCAGGACAAATTGTTAGGATGGACTTTTGAGAAGAGGTTATTTATGGTTTATTAAGATATTATAAGTTCTAATATATTAATAT